TGGCCCTCCATGGGCCTTTCCCCTGGGGCCGAGTCAGCGATGGCCGGGCCTCCCGTGGTGGAGCCCGGCGCCCGGGAGTGCTGGGCAGCGCGGGGAGGAGGGTTGGTAGAAGGTGGCGGCTAGAGAAAGGAGCCGCACAGGGCTGCTGGGGGACCTGAGGGCAGGACAGCGTGCGGTGTGGCTCAGGTTCCTGCCCCTCCGACCCGACCCCCTCGTTTGCCACAGCCCCGGGAGCCATGTCACATCCCTGCGATGAATCCCTCTGTGCACAGCAAGGCCTGTGAGGGGATATTGGGGGCCACTCTCAGAGGCTTTTGGAAACGCACCCCTCCCAGGGGCCAGTCATCCGTGCTGGCTCTGGGAAATGGAGAGGAGGCCTGCTTCTCAGGATTGGGCCACCATCTGAGAAAGCAGTCAGCAGAGGGGCTGGGCTCAGAAGAAGCAGAAACCTGGAGAGAATTAAAGGAGGGTTGAGAAGGCCATTTAGGGTCAAGCAGGTCAGCCCTCCTTCCTTGAAAATGATGTGAAACCACATGTCCGCGAAGGTTCCTGGCATGGAGGCTGGTATGGCCTGCCCACCCCCCGCTGGGGCTCAGGACCCTCGGCATCCCCCCTCGCTCACCTTGGATCAGAGCCTGTTAAGAGAGAACGTTGAGAGGAACTGGTGTTCTGTTAGTAAAAGTTGTAGACAGAGCACGTTTTAGTTTTCCTGGTTTTTCTTGTTCTCTTGTAATTTCTTTGATTTTTCCAAAGCAGACTTCTTCTTGGGAGATGTAGTAAAGGATTTGAGAATAAAATAACAAGATAAACAATTCATTTACGGTAAAGAGCACTAGCCTGCCGTCATTTGGTTTCTGAAATTCCTCATACCTTTATGCATGGCAAAATGTTTGACTGAAGTAGGGGCACCGGCAGGGAGCACCCGCAGCTTTGTTCCCTCTTCAATGTACATAATGCGTTACCGAAGGAATCCAGGTTGAAGACCAGTGCCATGAGGAGTCCTACCAAGAGCCTGAGACAAAAAGAAAAAGATGAGCCCCTACATATACCCATCAAAATATCCTCCCATATTTTGGATCAAATGAGAAAGGTTAACAGAAGTTCTACAATCATAAAACATGACTATATTAAAGCTCTAAATTGCCTAAATCTGGTAACAGTTCATTGTCAACCCTCATAAAGTCACATGGCAGGGGACCACCAACCTACCTGGGAACCATTGTACAACAGTGTGGGGTCATAAAACAAACAACAACCTATCTTGATTTAAATGTTTGATCACTTGTTCATCATAGACTTTTTGCATTTATTTTTATTTTTTTAAACATAATTCATTTTGCCACTGACTGCTTCTGTGGGTCTGTTGGTCCTCCTGCCAGGCTGGGGGTGTCTGGGGGCACAAACTTAAACCCTGCCCATATTGAGACTGATTGACATCCCATTTCTGGTTTAGTCCCTCCGTGGTCTGGTGTCCTACAGGCTGCCGCCCTAGGCGAGGGAGAGGGGCGGTTTGCTGGGAGTCCCCGGGGTAGCCCTGGCTCAGTCCTCTCCCCCAAACCATCTCACCTCATCTGGAACAGTTTCTAGCTGCAGGATTCCACAGCCTGGCTGCAGGCACCTGCTCCCTCCGCCTCTGCAACCTTTTAACAAACATGAGCTGTATCCAGGAGGTTTCTGTCCCACACAGGGCTGCTCGGGGGACCTGAGGGCAGGACAGCATGCGGTTCTCCACCTCTGCAACCTTTTAACAAACATCCTGTATTGGCATGAGCTGTATCCAGGAGGTTTCTGTCCCACACAGGGCTGTCCTACACAGGGCTGCTCGGGGGACCTGAGGGCAGGACAGCATGCGGTGGCTCCCAAGTAGTAAACAATTCAGTGCTGAAAGAGGGTGGTGCAAGTAATAGACCCAGAGAATGTGTGAACTGGTTGGGACAGACGAGGGAGAAGCAGGGCAGAAGGGCCCAGCAGGGATCAGGGTCCTGCAAGCGGGAAGCTGGCCTTCCCAGTTAGGAAGAAGCAGATGCTGTCACTCAGGTGTGTCCCAGGAGACGTGGACTGTGGGCCTTTGAGGCCTTCTGCAATCTCTTCCAGGAGTGAGAAGAAGAGGACAAGCAGGAGGGGGAGGGAAGGGGCACAGAGGTGTCCCACATAAATCCCTGTCCAGAACAATGGGCACTGCCATCGCCCCATCAGTGGCTGCGTGCCCTGAGGCTGCCACAGGACACAGAGTAAGCCACTGCCTCTGGAGAGTCCTCTCGCCCCCTCCGCCATCCGCCCACCTGCAGATGCAAACTGAAGCCCTCTCCTATCCATTTGGTTGCTGGGTACTACATAGAGGATGCTGAGTTGAATGGTAATTATCTTTCTTGATTTCAAATAGTTAGAATATAGTTGAGGATCAAAGGTCAAAAGTAGCTTTGGCAAGTAAAACTGAAACAAGGTCCTACAACCACCTGGTCCAGGTTTAGTGCAGATGCCTCCAAGGAAGGCAAACCCGTCATTGTCCCACCTGAAGTCTAGACTGGACACCTCCCCCTCTGCACTTTCCCTGTTGCACCCAGCTCAGTTCGTGGCCACATCACTTACTGAGGAAATAACTTCTACTCCAACCTTCCCACGCCGTCCACCACTGAGTGCTGGTAGTCCCCACATGTATCTCCACTCTGTCCACTTCTCTCCATCCCCACGACCGCCTCCCTGGTCCCAGCCACCATCTCCTCTCTTGGACTCTGCAGAAGCCTCCTAAGTGATCACCTGCCTCCCAATCAACAGCTCATATTTTTAACAAGCAAAGTGAATCACGTCCCCTGCAGAAAATGCTACAGAACAGGCTTCAAAGTTTTTAACCTGAGCCTGGTGATCCTATGGGACTAGCCCTGCCTACCAAGACCCCGTCTCCAGCCAACTCCTTCTGTTCTCAGAACGTTTCCACTCTTCCCAGAACTAATTCTGACTCTTCCTCTGTTCTGCCAGGACACCAGTCAGGAAGCAGAGCCAGAGTGCATTTGGAGGACTGTGAGCAGCCCTCTGAGCAGCCTCCCCAGGGCCCGGGGCCCCCTGGAGAGAAACATTCCAAACACCCAAGGCCAGCGACTCAGCAAGCCCGTGGTGAGAGGGGAGCTCTGTATGCATCTGTGGCCTGTTTCTCCTTGCGCGGAACCCATCCCTGGATGTGTTATAAGGTTTTCTGGGGGCCCCTGCAGATGAGCCTCCCAAGACAGTGTCTTCTAAAAGGCTATTTTTCTCTCACAGACATTAAAGTTCCTGCTTCTCTACTGATGTTTTAAAATCTCAGCCACTTAAGTAGAAACAAACATGAAAGCCTGTGACTGTGGGGTTTCTGAATGGCATCTAATATTGTACAACTTTTAAATAAGATGGTGGGAGGACAGGAAAGGAGGTAAGGAGAGAAAAATCGCTTTAGGAAAAGCGCCTGTGACTGTGGGGTTTCTGAATGGCTCTAATATTGTACAGCTTTTAAATAAGATGGTGGGGGGACACGAAAGGAGGTAAGGAGAGAAAAATCGCTTTAGGAAAAGGGAATTAAGGTTTATTTGAATTAAAAATACTAAAGATATCCAAACCACAATGAGATGCCACTTTATATCCATTAAGATGACTATTAGAAAGAAAGAGAGAAGAAAAATAACAAGTGTTAGCAAGAATGTGGAAAAGTTAGAATCCTTGCACATTGCTGATGGGAATATAAAGTAGTGCAGCTACTATGGAAAATAGTTTGGCAGTTTCTCCAAAGGTTAAACATAGAACTACCATATGACTCAACAATCCCACTTTGGGGCATACAGCCAAAGAATTGAAAGCAGGAGCTTCAGGAAATACTTGCACCATCATGTTCATAACAGCATTATTCACAATAACCAAAAGGTGGAAACAACCCAAGTACCTTGACAGGTAAATGGATAAACAAAATGTAGTATACCCATACAATGGAATATTATTCAGTCTTTTAAAGGAAGGACATTCTGACACATGCTATAACATGGGTGAACCTTGAGGACATTATGCTAAGTGAAATAAGCCAGTCACAAAAGGACAAATACTGTATGATTCCACTTACATGCGGAACCTAGAGTACTCAAATTCATAAAGACAGAA